GTTTAAGCAAACATTACGATGACCTCATAGCATTACTAAATTCCCTGCATGCCAGTATGTCCATCATTACTCTCACCGAAACCTGGCTAAAGCCTAATACTCCAGATGTCTATGCCATTTCTGGTTACCAGCCATACACAACTGTAGGCCAGTCAACAAGGGGGGGGCCAGCTATATACTACTCAGACCAACTTCAATGGTCAATAATACTTGCACAAGAGATGAACTTGGGGAATATATAATAGCTAAATTCAAATCTAAATACCTACAAAAACCTCTCACTGTGACAAACATCTACAGAGTACCACAGTCAAATATTAACCAATTTAGTGAAAAACTAGGAAGCATGATAACTGATGCACACAGGAACAAAGATCACTTACTGCTCACAGTAGACTTCAATATAAATCTCCTGCAAGACCAGGACCCACATGTAACTGAATTTACAAACACAATGAGTAACTACTTGCTGCTACCAACAGTAACAAAACCTACAAGAATCTCGGAGATCAGTATTTCCTTATTAGACCACATCTGGACCAACACCATATCCCCTTTAAAATCAGGCATAATCACAGATAACACCAGAGACCACTATCCTATCTTTCTCATAACCAATCTAGGTAAGTTACCCCAAGACACTACTAAAGTTACCTTCAGACTTCATAATCAGACAGCCATTAATAACTTAACAACAGCAGTGACAAACATTGACTGGCACACTGAGCTAGAAATCTGTACAGATACCGACGAGTGCATTAATAATTTTCTAAAAAAGACCCAGTACCTCTATAACAAGCACTGCCCTAAAAAGCTAAACAGATCACAGCTAAGAGACTGAACAATCCCTGGCTAGCACCCAGCATCCTCAAATCCATAAATATAAAGCACCTACATGAAAAACGGTACAGAATTGGTCAAATAACTAGAGACCAAACAAAACGTTACTCGTCTGGCCTAACCAGCCTGATAAGAAGGGCAAAAAAATTGTAATATGAGAACAGATTATTCAACTTAAAAGGTAATATAAAAACAGACTTGGAAAACCCTATCTGAAATTCTAGGAACAAAAAAGATATCAGGAAACAGAACAATCAAATTAACAAAACCAGATGAACTCCAACTCCCACTGATGGAAACAGCAAACAGACTCAATGTTTTCTTCTCCACAATAGGAAAAAAACTTGGCGAGCAAAATCCCAAGCTCAAACACCCCACCTAATGACTACCTCACTGGCACCTACTCGAATACACTATTCCTAGCTCCGACCAACCCAACAGAGGTCTCGCTTATCATCAACACACTAAACAACAAGGCAGGAGATTTAAATAACTTACCACCCTTTATTTACAAAAAAGCTTCACAATTACTGTTACCAATTATTGCAACACTTTAACAAATCCATCGAATCCTCTACCTTCCTCAAAATTCTCAAAATAGCAAGGGGTCACCCCGATACATAAAGGAAGAGATCAAGCAGACCTGAATAACTATAGGCCAATATCCAACTTACCTTTTCTCTCTAAAAGATTTGAAAAATTAATTCATAAGCGAATCTATTCCTACCTCATCTCCCAAAACATACTCAACCCCTGTCAGTTTGGGTTCAGGCCTAATAAAAATACGAATGATGCTGTTATACATATGCTAGAACAAATATACACTGCACTCGAAAAAAAAGAAGTCCCATTGGGAATCTTCATTGATTTACATAAAGCTCATGATACAGTTCACCATGATTTATTGCACATAAAATTATCACACTACCTAAAGTCATACCTTAGCAACAGAAGCCAATATGTGTACGCAAATGGAGTTAACACATCCACACAGCCAATTACAGTTGGTGTCCCACAGGGAAGTGTCCTTGGCCCACTTCTCTTTCTCATTTACATAAACGATTTACCAAATGCATCTCAACTACTCAAACCCATACCATTTGCAGATGACACTACATACATCTTCTCTCACACAAGCCCAGTCATACTAGTCAGTACTGTAAATTCTGAATTACAGAAAATGTCTATCTGGATGATGATTAACAAGCTTACTCTCAATATTGACAAAACCTACTTCATGTAGTTTGGGAACAGAACTATAAATGTTCCACTTAACATAAAAAGCTCACAGAGGGAAAATTCTTAGGAATCCTCCTAGATAACAGACTCAGACTTCAAACACATGTACAACAAATTTCCAAGAAAATCTCCAAGACCGTATGCATACTGTCGAAGATACGCTACTATGTTCCACAATCAGGTCTCCTGGCCCTATATCACTTACTCACTTACCCCTATCTCACCTATGGAATCTCTGCATGGAGCTCAATAACAATAAATCATCTCAGACCATTAATTACCCAGCAAAAGGCTACAGTCAGAATAACAAATTCCCACTACAGGCAGCACACTCCACCAATATTCAAAGGTCTAAACTTACTCACCGTACAAAACATTCATACTTATTATTGTGCCTACTACATACATAAAACACTAAACTCAGATATAAACCCTCCCCTCAAACTTCTCCTTACCAACCTTAATAGAACACACCACCATAACACAAGGCCATCTCACACTATGTAAAAACTCAATGCACATAAAAGGCCCAAAAATTTGGAATTCATTACCTGTGAATATAAAAGAAACACTGTTTATCAATTCAAGACTTCTTAAAAACCACTTACTCACCCAAAACTAAATACGCAGTATTTAATTCTACCCACTGCCTCAAAATATCATTACTCACTGTGTTACTCCCACTAGCCTCAGAACCCCATAAATAAATGTTCAAAGATCAGTAAGTATTGAATAACTGTATTTCATAACTATATCTCATAAATACATAACCCGTAACCCTATCAAACTATGTTTTTAATTGCATTACCTAATAGAATAATCCATTCTCTTGAATGCACAGTAACTCATCTAATGACCATATGACCTGTTTCTGCACTACAGATCATTGATTTTATTCGATCTGATTAGATTAATAAATTGTATGACTACATATAGTAAACTGATCATTTTGTTATATTATACATTGTAATGCTACAAATTTGCAGAACTTTAATGTTTCAAAATTGAAATGTTAAAATTTTTCATTGTTTAAAATACTCAACTGTGCTTCAAACTGTAAATTGTTTACTGTAATTTTTTCACTGAATCTACCATAGCTTAGTTAATCTTAAGCTAATTTTAAGCTGCCCATAATGCTCTGTATACAAGGGGCTTTTGGCATGTACACCCAACTACTATAATTCCTTTTACAACTATGTATCATGTTTAAATAAACTATTATTATTATTATTATTATTATTATTATTATTATTATTATTATTATTATTATTATTATATGAAACTGAACCTATGGAGCTAATAATTGGTCTAACTGGATTACCTGGTTTTTGTGTCTTTATTAATCCAAACATGTAAGGTAAAGTTGGATTAGTGGAAGTAAATTCTTTAATTAATTCATCTTTGCCTTTCATTAGAAGTTTTATTGCTTTATTGAAATTGCTGTTAACGGTTTCTAAGGGATTCTTTCTAAGTTTAGAATAGGTTAAACTATCATCTAGGAGATTATTCATTTTATCTTGCAATAAGATCACAGTAAACAGGTGATTTCAGAATATGCAAAACAACCACTGTGAAAGAATAGTGAAATTCCAATGGCTTTCGTGACTTCTCACTATTTTTTCACAGTGGTTGTTTTGCATATTCTGAAATCACCTGTTTACTGTGATCTTACTGCAAGATAAAATGAATAATCTCTTAGATGATAGTGAAGCTATTCTAAATTTAGAAAGAATCTCTTAGAAACCGTTAACAGCAATTTCAATAAAACAATAAAACTTCTAATGAAAGGCAAAGATGAATTAATTCAAAAAATTACTTCCACTAATCCATCTTTACTTTACATATATGGATTAATAAAAACACACAAACCAGGTAATCCAGTTAGATCAATTATTAGCTCCATAGGATCAGTTTCATATAAATTATCCAAATGGCTTGTTGACATTTTAAGCCCTATTGTTGGTAAAATTTCTAACTTTAATGTTAAAAACAACATAGATTTAATCAGAGGTCTCATTTTCGAGGGTCTTTGTGTACTTAGTTAGATTCTTGCAGTCAGAATAAAAAAATTCCCAAATACAGGCAGCACACTCCACCAATGTTGAAAACTCTAACCTACTCACAATACAAAACATCCATACTTATTACCCGCACCTACTACATACATAGAACACTTAACTCTGACATAAACCCTCCCCTCAAACATCTCCTTACCAACCTCAACAGAACACATGATCATAACACAAGGCACAGATCACTCTTTGATGTTCCTCGTGTCCATCCCACGCTATGCAAAAACTCAATGCATTACCTCAATTCATTACCTGTGAATATAAAAGAAACACTGTCTGTTTATAAATTCAAGTCTCTTCTCAAAAATCACTTACTCACCCACAACTAAATAAATACTGAATACTTTTATCTCATAAATTGTATCTCATATATGTATCTCATTATTGTATCTCATAAATGTCAACCTGTGACCCAATCAAATTTTGTTACTATTTAACTCCATTACCTAACGAATACTTCATTCTACTGATTACACAGCAACACAGTAAATGACCATATGACCTGTCTTTGTAATACTCATTTGTACTAAATTGTAATCTGTTTTACAATAATTTTTGTACCACTGAATATATCATTGCTTAGTTAAAATAAGTTAATTTTAAGCCTGCCCATAATGCTCTGCATACAAGGGGCTTTGGCATGCTGCACTTTAAAAATTGTATTCCTTGTACTTCTCTGTATCATGTTCAAATAAATAAATAAATAAATAAATAAATAAATAGAAACTCATAGGTGTTATCCAGCCAAAATATTTCCTGTCTTGTGCAGAACCTCAATAGGCGTACTAATACTGACTACTCACTATTTTCATATGATATTATGATGAAAATAATATTGCCTCGTTCCAGATTGGAATGTCTGTGTGGAGGACAACAATACTGAATTACAGAAAATATCTTCCTGGATGATGAGTAACATGCTTACTCTCAATATTGACAAAACCTACTTTATGTAGTTTGGGAACAGAACTACAAATGTTCAAACTTCATACCCAAAGTATGCTAATTAACCAGAATACTCATCCAACCAGCACGAGAATCCATTCCACCTACGTAATTGTTTCACCTAACTTCAAGAATATCCCACCCACGTACGAGAATGTTTCACCCACTTAAAACAGTGTTTCACCCACCTACATGAGTGTCACATCACTAACAGGATCTTTCCAGCCACAGGAGAGCTTCATCAATCTACAAGATGATTATTGCATATAGATGGACATCCACCAACAATAATAATTCTTTTATTCTGAGTGTATTCCCAGTCAGTGAGAGCATGAAACCACCGTATAAGACTTATAATGAAGCATAATTGCATCTCATTTTAATTAAATTTCGTTAATAAATAACTAGTGTTTTATCTGTGAATTAAAGTGAAATGTCAGTGTCTCTCAGGAATTCAAGAAATCCTCTTGGTCAGTACTTCATCAGACAACCTTTGCCAACATCTCGTCAAGCAACCTGTCACTATCTCGTCAGACAACGTCTTCCAGGATCTCGTCAACATCGTCTTCCAGGATCTCGTCAGATATCCCCTGCCAGTGCCTCGTTACACAACCTCTTCCATTAACTCGTCAAAATCTCTGCCAGTACTACATCACTATGGTAATTTTCTAGCGTGTCTCTTTAACTCTGCTGTATATACTTATTGCAAAATAAGTGCTTCGCTATCAGATGACAGTGATTCTCTAAACAATGATGGTGCCTCACCATCAAATAGTGTCATGCCAACCAAGTAACGATGGGCCTCACCATCAAACGTTCAGGATAGCTAAGTTTTATGATGGTGTCTCATCATCAAATATTATCAGGCCAAAAACAATGATACGCATCACAGTCAAATACATCCTTGATAACTAGATAAATATTGTCAGCCCAACTTTGCAGAGTTAAGAAATGTTCTTAAGGTCGTTCTGTTGGCTGGATTGTGTGGAGCTATTACTTCTATGAACAACCTTGTTCGTAGACAATAAACTGTAACTGGATTGTCTCAAGTCTATAAAGTTTTCTGATTCTGCAACATTTTGATAAAATATTAGTTGTTTGTATGAGCTATGACAACAAATTATCTAAATAATTCAAAAACGTCATAATACTGAATACAATCATAAGAAACCATAGGGCTCATTGTACAAAGTTGATCATTTTATATAAACATACATTTAAAAAATTATATAAAAAATCAGAGATACAAATTACGAATATTGACTTTTAGATGATGCCTTTTATATTGTTAAAAAACGATTCATTTTTGTTTCATATTCCTCTTCGAGGGAGGCTCCTTGGCGCGGTGAAGAGACTTTTGGTCTGGGAATTGGACCCTTCAGTCTTCTTCCTCCGACCGATCCTAATTACCTCTTAATCCTCCCTCCCCTTCCCCTCCCCTTTCTCCTTCCCTCCCCTCTCCTCCCTTTCCATTTTTTTAGGCTCTTGAATTCTAGCTCCTAGGTTGTGGGGGTGGGTATCGTCCATCTCGTTCCTTTGAGGCCCTTGATTTAGTGTTGTTTACCATGGAATCTGGATCATCAGAGTATGTCCTAATCCCTCTCCGACTTTCCGAGAGAGAGATGAGGGGGTTAGGTTAGCGCGGCTTGTTATGTCTTTCGGGTGACAAGTGTATCTCTTGAGGCTGCCTATTGGATTCCGGGAGGTGGTAACCGAAGGAAGTATGCCTTGTGGCAGGTTTCTGACCGCCCTCTCTTTTGTCCGCTAGTTTTCTAGCATGAAACGTAGGGTATAGCATGGGTTCCATAATGCATTTGTACTACGGAACCCTGATGTCCACTCGGGCGCGAGGGAAATTTGCAGCCCCTGTATTCCTCCTAGAAGCTACCCCTCCACGTTTCCCCACCCTCTTTTTAAGCATTTTTCGTTTTTTTCTTTTTCCTTATTTCAGAAAAACAAGTGAAAGTGACGCAACCATTGAGCCCCAAGTTCATGATTCTTCTCCTCCCAGACCCCTTTCTGCTACAGCACCCTCTCCTGACCCTGCCTAGTTACTGAACTATTCTTCAGATCTTGCTAACACCCCTGTACCTTCTCTGGGTAACACTTCATCGCCCACCCTTGGTACTGGGGTTACGCCTAACTCTTTTGATATATCCGACCTCTGTACGTCTTTCACCATGCTTCCGGCTTCTCCCTCTACGATTGTAATAAAGTTGGTAGAATTACTGACAATATGTAAAGTAAAAGGACACAAATGCAACTAATGTGACATTTTATTGTGGCAACGTTTCGCTCTCCAGGAGCTTTATCAAGCCATTACAAACAATACATGGACACAGAGGGTATATAAAGGCTCAGAGTGAGGTGCAATACTAGTGAGGTACCATTTCGATGTTCATTAGTGGTGGAAGTAGTAGTAGTAGTAGTAGTAGTAGTAGTAGTAGTAGTAGTGACCAAAGTAATACAATATGGTAGAGCAATTAATTCGTACATGAGTAAAAGGATATAAAAGCTATTACTTGGGTAACATAAAAATAGGTTGGACAAATATAGACTGGAAAGAGGCAGCTTGTTTCAGTGTTCACTCTCTGTAACGTGCTTTGTGTAGTATAACAGGAGAGACTATGTGATGGCAGGGTTTACTGTTTCCAGGAGGATTCTTGCTAAGACTTCGGAGATTGTGAAACTGCCGTTGTTTTGTTTAATTGTATTCGAAACAGCGATCAATGCTGATTCGAGGCATTGCGTCTGCGGAAATTAGTTTCTTTGATCACTAATTGGGCGTCTCTGAATTTCATGAGATGATTGGTGGAATTTCGGTGTTGTACACAGGCGTTGTTCAAGTTATCGTTCCTACATGCGTAAATGTGTTCATTGAGGCGGGTGTAGAGGTTTCTTGCTGTTTCACCTACGTAAATCTTGTCACAGCCTCCACAGGGTATAGTGTAAACTCCTGCATTGACTGGTTCGTGGTGCTTGGATTTTGTCCTGGTTAGCACTTCAATCAAGGATCTAACCAGGACAAAATCCAAGCACCACGAACCAGTCAATGCAGGAGTTTACAATATACCCTGTGGAGGCTGTGACAAGATTTACGTAGGTGAAACAGCAAGAAACCTCGACACCCGCCTCAATGAACACATTTACGCATGTAGGAACGATAACTTGAACAACGCCTGTGTACAGCACCGAAATTCCACCAATCATCTCATGAAATTCAGAGACGCCCAATTAGTGATCAAAGAAACTAATTTCCGCAGACGCAAGTGCCTCGAATCAGCATTGATCGCTGTTTCGAATACAATTAAACAAAACAACGGCAGTTTCACAATCTCCGAAGTCTTAGCAAGAATCCTCCTGAAAACAGTAAACCCTGCCATCACATAGTCTCTCCTGTTATACTACACAAAGCACGTTGCAGAGAATGAACACTGAAACAAGCTGCCTCTTTCCAGTCTATATTTGTCCAACCTATTTTTATGTTACCCAAGTAATAGCTTTTATATCCTTTTACTCATGTACGAATTAATTGCTCTACCATATTGTATTACTTTGGTCACTACTACTACTACTACTACTACTACTACTACTACTACTACTACCACCACTAATGAACATCGAAATGGTACCTCACTAGTACTGCACCTCACTCTGAGCCTTTATATACCCTCTGTGTCCATGTATTGTTTGTAATGGCTTGATAAAGCTCCTGGAGAGCGAAACGTTGCCACAATAAAATGTCACATTAGTTGCATTTGTGTCCTTTTACTTCCCTCTACGATGTTTCAGATCGCACGCACATCTTTGGTGGGACCACCTCCAGTGGGCTACCTCTCGCTCTTCCCAGAAAAGACAAACAAGACACTCACTCTACTCACATACTACGTTTCAAGGTACTCAATGGACTAAGTTTTCACTCTGCAACTGACATCTCCCACTGACTATCTTTCTGATCATAGTATTAACAAAGGGCTCCTACTCTATGTTGGTCAAAATATTTCAATTCATGGTGCAAAATGCTGGCCAGGCTTGCAATCTTTCCATTCTTGCCTGCATAGACGATATTCCTGTCATGATTCGAAAACACGTTTCTCTCAATTCTTGCGGTGGTACCGTAGTTCTGCCTCATACCGTTGTTCGATAAGTTTTCCAGACATGTGATACTGACATTTTGGAGCAACCTGAGCTCCAAGACCTCCCAATTATCTAAGTGGACATTTATGTACTACCTGCCAGTGAGGGGAGACGCTTCCCCTGCAATGTAGCTGTCTTAACTCTTGACTGCCAAGAAGTATGTATGTATAATGTTCGCCAGGACTAGGGTCCTGGCACGGGTCTTAATCTTGAGATGACCCGTCTCTGGCTCCTGAAGGAGAATTGATTCTTCACTGTTGCAGCATGTAAGCGTTTGGAATTTCACTATTCTTTCAAGCACTGTTCCGGACAGTTCAGCTAGTGTGCCTTATAAGCGACTGAAGTCACTCCATCTCAGCTGTTTCCTGAACTAGGGACTGGGCTCTGTCCTCTCTGATAATCTGCGGATTCATGGCATCCACTGCTTCCTGCTCTGTCAGTAAGCACACCCTCAGGAGTGTGCTGACCATCTGCCGGAACATGCTCTGTTGTTCCGTGGAGGTGATTGTGTTGCAGATAATATCCGTGAATGCCTTGATGAGTGTTAAGAGATCCTCTCTGTTGAGTGCCTGCGTTGTCGGTGGGTTCGAAGCAGTGGACATTATCTGGGCTGTCGTAATCTGTGGGGACTGCTGAGGGTTGTATTTCTTCACTGTGCACACCGTGGGCTGTTGCTGTATGCCAGGTTGTGTACCCGGCATCTGCTGGTGAGGTGCAGCCACAGCCTGCATAGTGGTTGTGCCTGGCAAGGAGGCCGGTGGGGGCTCGTGTAGTGCCGTCTGCTGATTGTGTTGCCCAGATGTTTCCTGTTGGCGCCGCTTGTTCCTCATGTTTTTGTTTCTTCGTTGCGGTAGTGGGGGAGGATGCTCCTGTTCATGACGCCTGGTTGAGTTTTCAAGGGTCGGAAATTCCTGGGCATTGAGTTGGGTTGACTGATGAGAGTTCTGCAGTATGGAAGGATTCTCTGCACCCATCGTCTGCTGAGGGTGATGCTCTGCCGTAGCCTGCTGTCTCGTCGTTGGTGTCTTCCAGGTCTCACGAATTCTAGTGAGCCTCTCAGGGCATCGAGGGTTCCAGGCATGGTGTTTCTGCCTGCAATTCGGGCATCGTGGATTGGGTGGCGATGCATTCTTCAGCTTGGTGATGCATTCCTCGGTAGGGTGGGGCTGGCTGCAGACACCGCAGATTACTCTGTTCGGACAGAGTGCACCCAGGTGCCCGTAACGCTGACACTTGAAACAGCGAACTGGTTCTGCCGTGAAGGTCCTGACATCGTACCTGCCCCAAGAACCAAGGTCCAGCTGGGATGGCAGCGGTCCTACATGCTGAATGAGGACCTGCCGGGTTGGTGCATTGCCTGCCGATTTTGCCTTGAGACGCTGAGCTGACACGACACTGGGGTGAGCTGCTACTGCCTCGATGGGCATCATCAGCGGGTATCGCATCATTACACTCTTGGTGACCTTCTGCCGAGAATCCAGTTCCTCCAGGGTGAAGGAGCGGTCTGTCTCCATGACTTTCTTCAAGGTGATATGCATTTCCCTGTTTATAGGAGTCAGTATTGGTTCTCCCCTCAGGTTGAACCATATCTTGAACCTCAGTTTGTGCCGTGTTTCCAGGTGTGTAACCACGCCATAGTGGGTTTTGTGTTCCCCATAAGCCTTTACCTTGAATTTGGAAGGTGATTTGAGCTGCTTTACCTGCTCCTTAGAGGGACGGCGTGTCTTACTGTTCACATTGATCCATCCTTCCGTATTCTCTGGCTGCATGGTTAGGCTTGTCAGAACTGGAGACTTTTCCTCTGATGACACGGAGTGGTCTCGCAACTTCTTCGCTAGGATTGCGCCCCACATTTCTAAATCCGAGTCGTCCATTTCTAAATACGAGTCATCCGTCGTGTCCCTGGAACATCGTGACCTCTTCCTTTCGGCAGAAGTCATGTGTCTCTCCACGTGGTGCTGGACTGTGATGCTGTTCTGCTCTGTACAACCTGCCTGTGTACTACTGATGTACCTAAGGTGTGTGAACTACGGACTGCCAAGAACTACCGCCCTCAATATATATTGCATGACACCATTTACAAATCTGAGAGTCGAT